CCTAGCCCAAGAAGCAAGACAAAAAGGTAGGGATTTTCTCGAGGCCTTATTATTCACAAACAATTCAATCAACGTACTTATTGACATCGAACCCGGACACCAGCGAGTGAGACAGCAAGCGCTCAAACATATTCACCGTGGATCGTGTTCCACATCACTGGACCCGATAGCTGCTTTGCATCACCGGTTCTGTCATCAGTTACACTTTCCGGACAGAATTAGTAGATTGAAACTAATCAAACCTTCCGCAACACACTGGACTCCTTTTTTACTGATATGAGTCATAACCATAAACCAGCGACCTCCACAAGCAGCGCTTACCGCATCCTATATGAGGTGCATTTAGAGTTCTTAAGTGCACATCATGAGATTGGATACGGACAAGCCATCAATAGTTGGACTGCAACTTAGCTTGAATTAAGCTATGGCTAATGGAGAAATGATTGAATCCAAGCGCGAAGTATGAGTGTGGTGTTTACGCTGATATGTCCAAGTCAACTCGTGGTATGACTTATGACTAAGTCCCGTTATTCCGGTACACGGCTTCTGCTTCAAAGCCCACAAATAAAATGAAACTGACTATTTGGAGGGTCAAGTTTGGATTACACGTTGTGTGATTGGATTGCGACACGCAACCTCAATATAATGGACTGTGATTCACATTGAAATGAACCTTAGTCACTGCGATCGCTGGGACCGTATTCAAAGTAGATGGAAATTGGGTATTGCCCACCCGAAAATACTAACTATGTTTGTTTGCTAGAGCAATCGACAGACGAACAAGTGAAGGTCTGTGATTGTTTTGTATTTAATCGTCATGCTGTACAATATGGCTTGTTAGTCTACGGTGTCGGCCTATTGGAACAACTTATCCATACCTAAGGAACGGATTCAACCATCGTTGAGCTGAGGTTCGTCACTGATTAAACGCGAGCAATCGGTTAGTTCCTGATGATGGCCCCCCCTCTGAATGGGCAAAAGTATTACGCACCCATTGAAGCGCTGTACACGGAAATGCAGGAATGAGTGCCTGACTGTGTAGAGACAAAGCGGTCGCGCATATTGAAGTATGAAATCAGCAGCGGTTACTATGATTGTACATATAATTGATCTGAGCGTAAAAGGTTTGGTCAGCTTCATATTTGTATGGGTCACTTGAGTTGCTTTTTCAAAATGGAAGAAATTCGGGTAATCCGCGTTGAGTGGCATCAATTTCTCTGCGCTTATTATTCGATGTTGGTTGAATGGTGACGTGTTTAGTGGATGCTAAAGGGAACACTATGGCTGCTTTACCCGCCTCAGGTGAATTCGTATACGTGCATGCTAGGAGGCATCTTTTTCCGGAGTTGCTTGTCACTATGACAACGAAGAGTTACAGAACTTTATTATAAAGACAAAGGTAGGTAGCTCAGGTTTATCATTTGTTAGACAAACTGTTCGATGAGCATGGAAACATGCTGCAGAAGTTTCATTCCTAGTCAAGTTTACATCAGCATTGCGCTGGTGTGCAGTGGAACGGAGCGGTGCATTTACGAAGGCCATATAGTAGATAGGGGAACAGGGGAACAATGATATGGTAAGGGGAAAAGGTCAATACTTGACAAATCCTGTGTGGGGGTGGTTTTCACTAGTTACGTAAGTTCTGAAAAATAGCACGAAAGTGAAACGCGCATCAGTCAACTCACCATAATATCCACGTTAATACACAAGTAAATTCCTTTATCCCAATGTGGTGGCGGTTGGTGAGCCCAGTTTCGTTTGCGTCTTCTCGTCGCTCTAACGGAATTCAAATCAAGTCATGCAGATGTTGGAATGCCACGTCAAGTCGTTTTAAAAAATTAGTATCGTGTGTGCAGCGATGCTAAAAGTCAAAAGAGCATTCCACGACTGTCATATGCTAAAAGAAAGACAGTTCCAGCGGTATTCCAGCCGACAGTATTTGTTGGCTAGTTCCAGCTGGTGACCCATCAGTTTTGTGTTGCGGCGAAGTTTCAATTGGCGGAAGTGTGCCTGAGGTTATTCCGGATCTATTGCTCCATAAGGAGATCACCCCTTAGACGGTGATAACCTACGCTGTACACTCCTAGGGCTTTCAATCGCGGTTGATATTGTAGCGAAAACGACACGACAGGGGGGTAGACGTTTATTGCACACCGAAAATGGGCACATCCGGGTCTCACGCGCGCCATCGAATATCGACTAGATTTCCGTCCCACAACGCAACACAGGTACGGGTGTTCGAGACTAGCTAGTCCTTTCGCCTCGGGAGCTCTGACTTGGAAGACCCGCCTCCCTGTTTTCGCCTCGATCCCCACTTCTCTGTACCCGATTTGGATCGGCCAGGAGTCGTTCGAGAGCTCTCGACTTGCTTGGGATTTTTTCAGTTAAGCTCCGCCAAAAAGTTAAGCCCCGCCACCCAAAAAAGATTATGAAAAGGGAGGATATGGAACTTGAACTTTTACTCTCTATTGAAGTGGGTGAAATTGAGACAAGTCATTAATGATTTGCATGAAAAGGTCCATTTTTCGGTGTCTTTGCCTCCAAACGAACTCACACAGGTAGCTGTCCACTAAAGATCGGTGTGTGCCGCATTGGCGCTTATTCTGCATCTTGTAAATGTGCCAGAGAGATTCCATGGTTTGTGTGTGAGCTCCAGTCGTTGGATCCACAAAGTTTTCGGTATGGTTAACCGTTTGATGAGCATAACTCATGCCAATCATCGATTCAATGCATTGGTATGATGCCCACATATTGGAAATGATAATTGAGCCGGAAGTGATGCAGGCCTAGATTGCGTCCAGCAGAGTGGCCGCAGTTCGATCTGGCACTGCATACAAGAACACTTCTTTAGTCTCCCGACAAATCCTTCCGAAAGTCCACTGCTGGGGAAGGAGTCGCCCTGCATGGTTTTTACGACGTGATATTAGGGTTTCATCGATCTCGACGTGTAGACTTGGGCCGCCGACAATCGTTGGAGTCTGCAAAAGCTGCCAGGCGCAAATTTCACGCAGTAGGTTCTTCCAGTCGACAGCGGTCTCGTGGCCAATAGATAACTCCTCTGAGCAGAATTTGCTTGTTGTCAGATTTTTGGACCAGCAACAAATGAATAGGATTATTGTTGAAATCCATCCTAGAACGCTCCAGCCAAGTTCCTTTTTGAAGACCGATTTCTTGCCGACACTGTCGGGCATCACACCTCCACCTGTCAGAAACAGTTGAAAGTGTCATTTGGTGTCCTCGTCTGCATAAACGTTGATGCTGAATCACTTCATGGCTTTGCAAAAAACTGTTTCCTACTGTTTCCTTGTCATGAACGACCACCGAAAGCGTCAGAAAGTTCATGTCAGGTTTTACGTGCGAATGTAGGAACTTTTTGGACTCAACTTTTTACGCGTGCCCTTTTTGCACTATTGGTGGGGCTTAACTTTTCAGGTGTACCCTTTTTTGCCTTAGTGGCGGGGCTTAACTTTTTGCGCGTGCTCTTTTGCATTAGTCGCGGGGCTTAACTGGAAAAGTTCCCTTTCTTGTTCTGGGCTGTGTCAATCGGCTCAGCCTCGGTCCTATGGGCTGCGCTAGCGGCGTATATGTCTGATTTATTGCGCTGTCCACATATTCCCGCTCCGTAGTTCCGGGCGAGGGTTCGTTGCTAGCCGTCCTTCTCGATCCGCTCTCAGCTAGCTCCGAAGAGCTCTCCCGAGGCATTCTTGGAAGCGGCCCCTCTACAGTATGACAGGTAGAATAATCCCCTCACATTTCTGGTTGCCCTTCGCTGTGGGTTCTCCAGTGCTACCAGATCGGTAACCGCATCCTCATGACGAGGAAGCGAGCATGTTCGATTAAACCATGTGCTCACCTAGACCAAATGACCACTTTCGTGGTCAATCTTCCAGAGGGTTAGGTGAAAGAAATAAATCCAGTGGTTGAGTGCGTTATTGACATGCGTAGCATGCGAGGCTAGGTAAATCTACACAGCCAGGAACGCAATGACTTGGAGGTAATCGCAAACACTTCGTCCCATCATCAACAGATGAACAATATCATTTTCATGGGATTTATTTTTTCCTGAAAGCAATTAAGCAGACACCAGCTTGCTCCTACACATATTTGCACACTGCGCAAAGCTTAAGACTGAGCTTACGTATCATTTTCTTACATTTTAGATACAGGAGGTCAATCCTTACCGTTGCGGTCCACCAGCAAAAATATTTAAATGTGCTGCTTGGCGAGATTCCACTTCACTGTGTCCTTAAAAGAGTGAAACAATGACACAGGAGAAGTATCTCACATAGAGTCGCATGAAAGTTACTAACATTTTCACAGTTCATAAACAGCCATAGTTGTTCATAAGTGACGGATAAATGCGCTCATTCAGACATACATATACTTATACACTTTTCTGGTTGTCTTCTGACTAAAAATTCACCCTGGATGTGAGGGACTCCAGGGACTTCTTTTTACAGCGTTCATTTCTCATTTAACGACAAGTTATTGAGATACGGTTACACTTACTTTGGGGAGTGGGCACCTTACATAGCGCAGTCGTGCTTGCTACTTTCCTACGTTGGTTCGTATACTTTAGACTAGCCAATAAAATGTGGCTAGTCGAGGCGCTTTCGCATGCACACAACACATGTATTCTTTCGGCAATGTTGATATCTTACAACGTTGGGGAATAAGAACACAGTATGGTAAACGACGGGAAACATAACCGTTTACTCAAATGTCCACGTGCTGTGCTTCAAGAGACTATTTCACCTACGTAGCTGCCCACACTTGGTCCTAAAATCTACCGAAAAATAGAATAAGTAAGATTCATCTGGCTCGTCTACGGTACTTTTACGCATTATGATACTAAACTCCACACCTGTGAATTCCAGCAGTGCGCAAGTGTTAGAAGTTGGTTTGCGTACATGTTTTGACAGCGTCTTTGCATGTAAATGTATCAACCATAAAATCTACTGGTACCCTTATATTAAAACCCGTGTTTATCTTCATCTCAGGACAATTATCCAACAGATAAAGCAGGTGAAGAAGCAGCTGGTGATTGTTGTCTCTAGAAACAAGGTGGGTGATTGCTTTCCTTTCCATTCCTTCTATTAGAACTACCCATACGAACGCAATACACCGTTGTTATTTTAACCTAAATCTCTGGTATTTGTGTAGTTACAGAGTGCTGTTTAAAACTAGCAGTATCAACATTTTTGTGAAGGGACATATGGTCTGGAGCTGTTCCTTAAATCGAGGATGTGTAGTTATTACTATGCTGCAACGAGCTATTCGACGATCATGTCAATCAACTTGCATATTTGTTTAAAGGCAGCCACAAGTTCAATGGAATTATACGGCAGAAGTTTACACAAGTTAGGATGCGACCCCACAAAGACCTAGCTTATTTCACTCAATAAGTTCATTTGTGCCTTTCTTCGTAGGGGCTGTTATAGTGTCAAAATGCTAGGCAATTCCCTGAAACTGACTGGGTGAAACAATCAGAGGGGGATTGGCACAGAAACTTTTTCCTGTTCGAATACGTCGTCCCTAGAATACCCTCCCCGGTTGTAACTGACAGTGATAGGATACTGTATTCGTGTTTGCTTGTATTTGCCGTCAAAATATGTCATCATGGGTAAATTTGCTTGCTGTTCTGTGTATATATTCCTCATGCCTCTATCGATCACAGAATGCAAAAATGTCCAAGGCACCTAAAGCGATGAATGGCAATTTAGCTGTACTAGGAAATATTTCGGGTACAATCGAGCCACTGAGCAAAACTGCATCGTTGGGGCAAAATAGCAACAAGTTCTACATAGGGTAGTATGTTAGGGATCTGTATCCGGGAATAGTGCCAATGTTGCCTTGCACTTAAGAAAACAAAGGAGTTGCTTTGGGTATCCATAACTAACAGCCCTGTTCATTGTTCGACCTTATCATACCGGTTAGGCACTAGGTTTACTGAACATTATGGTGTCTTTATCAGCTTTATCAGCTGATCGGTTAGGTAATGTGAATTATTAACTGGCCCAGGTGAACCGAAAAGTGAAGTACTTTACTTGTTTTTCAATTGGTCATCCGATTACGCTCTCGTGGTCAAGCTCTTCATTTCTATCAGTTATACCAACCACTATATTTCCATTCATGCTGTCGCCATTTGTCTGCTCCCGGTTGATGGCGTCTGCGAAGCGGTTCATCACACAACGTTGCACAGCCCAGCAATTCCTGATACCATTAACGCAGGGAACTGAACACTTTTCATAATGGGTTGTACTGTGGCAGCAGGTGCATTTTACTTCTTTGATCACTATGCTTATGGGATCGCCATCTTCTTTATATTGCAAGGTTAAATTTACTAACCTTGGTATCCGTAGTCGTTAAGTTATGGAACCGATGGAAAATCTGTTATTTGAGTACAGGATGGCGCAAAGGTTGTTTTGATAGCCACCTGGCAGAGTTACGAGGTATCTGTTCATATTGTGCATAAAATTGGAATCACCTTGCTGCGGTCACCAAATTACATGTTCAGTAAGTGGTAGAGGGCATCCCCGTTAGATGATCAGAGAAGCACTGCCTCCTCACACGATGCTTGAACTTTCACAGAGATTTGATTGAGACCTTTGTCAGGAGTGCAATAAAAGCTGTCGATCACCTGGGAGCAGCTCCACGCCTTGCAGATCGTGTTCAGTGAACATAGTCTCCATAACTCCGTCAATGCCGAAAGGAAACGTGACACCGAGTAACCTTCTTTCACTTCGCTGATGATACTGAAAGGGGGTGAAAGTTTGCCGAAAACCCTCACACTGCCCGAATTCTGAGCGTGCAGCGCTCTGAGCACATTTACATCTTTCTCAGGCCCAGCTTTCCTCCGTAGAGAGTCCCAACGGGCACGTCGATCAACAGAATCAAAGACCCCTTTTATGTCTAGGAACACAACTACAATGGATCACCAGTGAACACGGTGGTGCTCTAACAAATGACGTAAAGTAAAGAGGTGGTCAATGCAACCTAGATTTCGACGAAACCCGGCCTGCTCCTTGCGAATCTAGCCTTCAAGGATGCCAGTCGTCTATTGAGGATGACAGACGCAAGTAACTTAGCGGCAATAGAGATCAAACGGACTCATCATTGGCTGTCACCTTCTGAACTGAAGCTTCCCTTGTTAATCGGTAACATAACAGACCGGTTCCAATCGGTTGAGACAGACTCCTGCTCTCCTTGATTCAATAGTAAGTTATGTAAATCGCCCAAGAAGAGCAGTTCCTCCGAATTTGAAAGAGGCTGAATAAAGCCCACCTACTCCGGCAGCCATGTTTGATTTCAGCCGTCTGAACTCATGTTCGATTTCTGCACGTGATGGCGGACGCAAGGGGACGGCCCAGAATGTACACAGCTCATTCGCCGATGGAGAAGCTGGCAATTCTGAATGATTGAACTGCCTCTCACGATGTTCGGACCAACGCTTCAGTCATTTTGACAGGCTGTGCATCAGCTCTCCACTCTCGTCGTATATCGTCTGGCTCGCAATAAGTTTCATGCTGCCCGTTTCTCGTATCAGACGTAATAACATGATACTTACCACCAAGGGCCTGGTGCATATCATCGGGGCTGTTGACTCAGTTTTATTTCTGTAACTTGAGGACGAACCGATTTATTTGTCTCATTAATGTCCCCCAAGTACTGCGGAGTTGAGATTTAATACTAAGGGAGGTATCTTTGCTGAGTACTAAATTATTCAGCGAGGCAAGCATCTGCCTCATTATATATATATATATATATATATATATATATATATATATATATATATATATATATATATATATATATATATAGACTTACAGCTAAACTAGATCTTAGCCTGGATGAAAACTCTTCCAATTTATTGATTTACTCATCTCTGTTATTCTGTTGCAGGTTCGGTGTCAATTTTACGTGTATACTTTCTTTCAAATTCTGTGTTGGTTGTTTGATATACCCCGCGTGGCTGCACTTAATGTGAATATTGGCAAGTTACCTGCCTGTCTAACACGTCCCACTTCGATGACTTGCTTCAGGAACCTGTAGATTGTTGCTAGGGCATAGGATGCGCAGTCTCCTGACCGTACTAAGCTCAAAGAGTGCTTCCATGTCCTCAGTGTGGAGCGGACTACGACTCAGCTACCGACTTGCTTACGTCTGGTACGCATGGTTCCTAATTTGGACAACCAGGAATGCTGCTGTTGTGCATGTTGAAGGAGTGTGAGCCGGCTCCGTTGATGTAACACGGCTCCCATCCACCTGCTTCATGATCTTCTTTCTTCGGGTTTGCACTGAATATGGTGTGTGGATGGAGCTGTGGGTGATCCCGCGCAGACCACCTGTGACCCTTCTGTAGTCGCAGTCCTCCTGTGGCTGTACTCTGGTGGCCACATTGACAGATGAATCCGGAACTGGATGCAGCTGATAATATATGTAACAATGATACAGCTTGTCTTGATGGAACCTGGTAAAGGTGGCTGCCGGTAGAGTATGCAGACTTTGAATACGCCTTATTGCGACCCGAAATATGCCACTGAAGTGCCGAGTCAGCTAAACACCGACTCGATTACCATATATGGTGAGTCTGACCGCTCAACAAGTCTAGCAAAAGACACAATGGAGAATGATAGTTAAAATTCACCATTGTGTTTGTATGTTCATTGACAGGGGAGTAAACTTAAAGTTACACGATCAATCTTGGTTGGGATACATTTTTAATCTGTTAGTTTTTCGGCACTCGTTAGAATTGCGAATTCCATCGGACCTTGTGAGGCTCGAACCTGTAACTCGACTGTTGTCAATCTGTGGTTGATACCATTGAGCTTCGTGGGTCGGCAACAATCGTCGTGAATAATTTACTAAATGTAATATAATGCCACTCAATATTCACTGACTTGCACGCCACTACCATGCAGAGGCCAAGATAGCCACTACACCAAGCGATGAACTTACCAAACTTAAGCCGCCAATTAGCCGTCTGGCAACAGTCGATTTTCGGGTCCGAGCCATACGATGGTCAGATGGAATGCGCACTGCTGGCGACTCTTTAAATGATGAACAAGCCGTACAATACTTTTCCGTGCGTGTGACGGCTGTCTGATTGAGTCTAGATGTTATGAATTTCTATTTATTCTATTTAACTCCCCCTACTTCTCTTCTGTAATCAGCTAGTTTTTTTGCCAGGAACCGTAGGAACTTTTCTGTTAATTTATGGCGATTCCTTTGTCGAGTCTTTCTTCAACGCTCAGAAGTAAACATGTGGAACATTCAGAGTTGGCGTTCAAATAAGGTCAAGGCCTAACACTGTACCGGCGCTTCGCTGCCACGCGATCACCACCGGTTGCACCTGGGTTGAGTATACTGCGAAGTCGCCCGCCCCTAAGCCGATGCGGATCGATGACCAAAAGATTGCAAGCCAGGCGTGCAATCCTTTCGACCACTCGCCGACCCAAGGCAAAACCACATGAGGCTAGTCCATAGATTTTCTTACGGCCTCACGGCCGCAGCATCACATTCATTAGTTTGTGTGTTTCCCGCTTGGATTTCGACACTATCAACAGTTTTAGCCGCTGAATGATTAATCATGCCAGCCAGGCATGGTAATCGCAGTTGGTTAGGTTGGCAGCAATTCCTTTATGAATGAATGGGTGGCACAGGAAGGAACAAAAAGGCACAGTAAGTAAGTGTGTTGCAGCAGATTGATACTTGAACATACACCTTTCCTTACTAAGTGGAATCTGTATGAACATAACCAATATGCTGGGCAATCCATGGGGTCATGAGTCTTCAAAGTGAAGCCGACGCACTTATGACATTGACAGCAACACTTCCCAAACAAACAACACCCCCTTATGTCTTAGCCGCCCGGTGCCCACACGACTCAGAGATAACAGATAAGGTGCTACGAACTGAACTGCGGCTATGTTGCCTTTATCTTGCGCCTTACACGCTTGACACGTCTAAAGAATCCATTTTGCAATACGGTTAATGATCCCAATTTTCCACGATGGCGAAACATTTTCTGTCCGCTCGAAATCGACAAGTCTGGGAAATTTCTG